CCTAAGAAAATATTTTGAATAATCACACATAAGTAAGTCCTGTGTATTGTGGATTCCCTGACGGTAAATACATCTTGCTAGTCCTCCTTCCTCTCTAATGACAGATCTCTTGCTTTGTCATCTCATGAATTAAATACCAAGAGCTCTGCCTGAATCAACCAAACTTCTCATGGACTGAAACCTTTGTGTGGAAGTGCCAATCACACCCTGCCTGGGGCCTCCACTGTCTCCTGTCATGAACAGGCTGTTTGTAGGGACTGCTGCTATGACATCTGCGTGCAGGTGTTGATGAGTCACATGCCCTTGAAAGAGGTTTCACTTTGAATAGCCAAACCATGCTGATGGTGAAAAACTGACTTCAAAACTGACTTCAGCCTGATTCCTCTTGAGTAACTCTCAGTTTGAGCCTTCTATGGCCTTTTTCACCATCTCAGACCTTTTTACACACAATTATTCCTCTAATTACTATATTTTAAAGTCTTAAGAAATCCCCAGTGTAAACAATTGCACTCCTATCCAGTACTTATCAATATGAGAGGCATCTGGTGCTCAGCCTGAGCGGTTGGATGAGGCACCCGCATTCTCTGGGAGGCACAGATGGAAATGCCTGGTGGCCTTCACTACGGTCTCCGAGTTCCTAGTCTCTGAATCAGAAAGGCAGTGGCCCTACGTGGTCATTACACCGGCACCCTCATTTTGGCCCTACACCAAGCATCTGGAAGGGAGGGAGGGAAAGAGAGAGGAAGGAAGAAAGGAAAGTGAAAACTCCAAAGCATATGGGAGAAAGGAAAGCGAAAACCCCAAAGCATGTTTTCCGGGACACTGCAACTGCGAAGGCTATTGTCAAACACTCTGTACTGTCCCACTTTCTAAAGCAAAACTTGTCAGTGTTGTGCATGAGCCCATGCTGATATAAATGTCATTGAATAAAGATTTTCTGAGATTTCATGTCTAAAAAGCTTTGGATTGTCCTGTTCAGAAAATGACATGGAAGAAGAACACTGACAGAGAACTGTTAGATTTGAGGGGTTTGTTTTGTTTTGTTTTACCGTGGTTTCTTTATGGCGAGGCTTTGAGGCTTTTCTTGTGTATACAACTCTGTTGGTGTCCTAGAGACATCTTTGACAATCTCAGGACTGTGTATAATGCAATATTTTACCTCCAACTTCCTGCTCCCAGGCCGATTCTTGTTGATGGTGACTTCTATAAGTGCTTAATGGCCTCTAAGAAGTTCATATAAGCAAGCATATTTCCTTTTGGATACTTGTGACCCCATCAAGCCTATCACAATAAATATTGCTGAAACTATTTTATAGATATCTTTCTTGAAACTGAGAGCCCTACCTTGATTCCACCCCCTCACTCAAAAGAATCATTTTGCTTGGTTAGAGATGAGACAGCCCTGTGAGACTTACCCTCAGTTTTGAGGATTTGGAGCATGTTCTTCATTTGTACTGTAACCAGGCTGGCAAACTGTCGAAAGAGAAGAGTCTAGGACTCCATGCGAGAATGTGCAGTTCTTGCACTGTCATAGCAATTCTGATCTGTGCAGTCCTTCACTTGTAAGGATTAAAGCTAAATGTCTGACAGCCTTCTAAAACAGGCCTTCTGTTGTGGGCTACCTTGACTTTGTTTTTCTTTGTTTCATACTCTGGATAGAATAATTAGGTTGTCTATCTTCTGGTGAAGCTGTGGGCAAAGTTGCTTCAGTTATCCAATATTAGTGAAAACAAACAAACAAACAAAAACTGTATGCTGGAGAAATGGTCCCTTTTATAGGTACTTATGTTAAATAAATCTACTATTTCAGACCAAATGATTTACCTGCTTTTTCTGCTTAGAAGAAGGTACTATAAAAGGCTTGATTTAAACAAAACTAAGCCAATAAATCCCCAGTGAAATATCAGACCTCCTCCCAGGAGAATGTTTAATGTCATCTTAGTCTAATCTCATTGTGAAATACTTCGATATTGTTTAAGCCATGAGCAAACTGGAAACCAGAACATTTTTAAAGGTCCTGGGCAGTGTAATGCAATCTGTTCAGCCTCCTCCAGGGAGAAGCTGTAGTGAGCTGGCAGTTTTACTCCTTTAAATCTCATCCTATAGTTGGGCAGGAGAGATAACTGGTGCTGTGACTCTCCAGGAATCCACCGCTGTGCTCGCTCTCGCATGGGGCGGGGCAGGGAGGGTCATCAGGAGGCTGCTTAAAGGCAATCCCTCCTCAGCAGTGGGCAGAGGGAGGTGATATCTTGCTGCGGTACAGCCATGGCAGGGATTCGTAACAATGTGGTAGCGGTAAACCCTAAGGTATTATGGCGTGAGAGCCAAGCGGAGGTCTCAGAGGTCTTGTGTCTCTGCCTGTCCCCCACAACAGGGAACAGGAGAAGGAAAAGAAGAAGCAGGAGAGGAAGTAAGGCTGAAGACCGACCTCCCTGTCACAGGGAACCCTTGTCTTTCAAAGTGGCATGAATGGTATTTTGTTTGGTGTTGCTATGAGTAATAGAGAAGAAGGACAAGAGAAGTGGTTGGGATAAGAAAGAAGTGTCTATCCTGCTTTAACCTTTCTTCTGTCTTGTGTCTTCAGGGTGCACGCTGTTTGACATCTGGTTTGTGCCTTTTGAGTGCCTGGTACACTATGAGTGGAAACATGATTGCTTTAGGTTGGCAGGTCTTATTGGGAAGAGGCTTCCTTTGTATTACAGCTCCTGTCCTCAGCACTGTGAGCATAAAGGCATTCCCCATGTGCTAAATGGCGCTGTAAATAGAAAAAAAAAAATTTTCTCATGGATATAGACTTCAGATTCATCTTTTTTGTGAAAGAAAATGGATAAAGTCTTCAAAAAGTCACCTCAGTGTTATGAAGGAACTAGGGAATGCAGCATCAGGAAACCGGACTCTTCCCCTCATTTATGCCCTGATAACACTGTAACAAGAAATGCTCACAGCGCTGCTTGAAATCCTAATGCTTTGCATTGCAGAGCTCAGATTTGGTATGGTGGGTGCCCTCTATCACTTACTAAAGTCATGAACTACCTTTAGTGTTCTGGATTTCTTCTATCCATATATGTTTTTGTAAGAAGCAGAAACCTTCCATAGAGCAGTTTGGTCCAATCCAAGAAAGACTCAGTTTAAACATAATAATCAGAAAAGGACAAAAATTATGTAAAATATGCCCTTAGGAAGCCTGTGACCTTGTATTTAGACAAGTCACACCAATTTACATTGACTGAATTAAACTAGTGTTATTTTTCTGGAGTAGACCCAGCATAGGGATTCTAGTTTAGGTGAAACCCTCAAGTTCAGATAAAGCAAACAAAGCAGCTCAGGGACGCTGTTCCCACCTCATTCCAGGTGGACACAGTGCTACATCTTTATTACTCTCAGTCATTTTACTCCAAATTTACCATAGGTTGAAGCAAGGCCCTGTCTCTTATGGACTGTGTATTTTTTTAATTGGGTGAAAACTATTCTGGATTTTCTCACATATCGCTGCATGGTGAGGAAACACCACACTGCAAAGCAAATCAACACATTTTATAAGTCTGTAATTTAAAATTTATTTGTGTTATATTACATAGGTTTTTATAGCAATGTTATTTCTTGGGGTAAAAAAATGAAACTTCCTTTCTGCAGACTGTGAGGATTTAATTATGGGTATTTACAAGGCACCTTGAGATCCTCTGAATAAAGTGCAATTTTAAAAGCTGTACAGAGTATTATTATGAATCTGATGTCAATTCCCAACATGCCTCAGTTTAACAGTAATCTCAATTAATCAAAGAAAACAGTTCACTCGGCAGGAGTCTGTGCTGAACTGCCTCATAGATCTGGGCTTGTCCCTTTTCCATTTTATAGCTGAATTTATGTGTTTTCAGACTAGCACAATCTTCATTTATTCACATTCAGGGAAGAAATGGTTTATGAAGTCCAGCTAGTCTTGCATGATCGTTCCATGAACCACAATGTTTTAAAGATATGAAAATGTTTTGCATATTTGGCAAGAAAATGAAGTTCAAGAAGGAATAAAAAAAAAGAAAAAAAAGAAAAAGAAAGATAGGTTTCTACTTTCCTTAAAACTAGAGACACATTGAATTTATTGAGAACATTTAATTTCCTTCTACTGTACATTTTTTTTTTTTGAAAGGCATATCTTCTTCAAGAAAATGGGATTAGGGTCACTGTTTACAGCATGTTCAAAGCAACACATGAGAAGAGATGCCTTTTTAAATCCCTGTTTAATGTTGGACCGTCATCCCCTCCCCGCGGCTCCAAAACACAGATGGCCGGAGAGGGGTTGGTGAGGGGGTCTGCATCTGGTCCTCAAGGCATTTCAGTATGTGATTTTGATTGTTTATTTATACCCTGTAATTATATCAGCAGCTTCTGAGCAGGTCTGGAGATGAGGGTTTGTTTTCCTGACAAGTCTCCGGAACCCACAGCCCTTCTGCGATGCTTGTAAAATGCCTGAAACAGGACGTGTCCTTTTTAGCTAAGCAGCCCTGCAAACGGCCTGTAAATAAGAGCACCACCGCCCAGCACCCCTGGATCGGGAGACTGTGGGCTTATCCCAAGCATGCATGATTCAGACAAAGTGAAGGACAAAAGCATCCGCCACATGCCAGTGCTGTGATCTTGCATTTATAACTAGGAAACTTGAAATGTGCAATTTGAATTGCAAATTGAATTTGAAAATGCAATTTGAAAAATGTAGGAACAGCAATATTTTAAGGTCCATTACCACAGTGCTTTTAGCAAAGACCAGACGTCCCAGTAACTCCAGGTAGGCAAACGCGCACCGCGTGCGCAGCGCTCTCCCGTTTTGGGAGCGAACCTCGGGGGCCGGGGCGGCGGCGGAAGGTGCCGGGCGGCGCGGGGGGCGCCCTGCAGCGCGGCCCGG